TTCTTTTTTTTTTTCAAAGAAATAAAAATTTCACATTCTAATCATAAAAAGACCTAAGGTACAAACTATGATTTTATCAATAACTGACAGGATTACTGACGGACAGAATTAGATTGATCGTTTATCAATTACGTTACGCGCCGAACGTATTAAAAATAAAAGAAGCGGAGCTTCGAGCGCGTGTAAGGACCGTCCCCCTTGTTTCACGACTCATAATTGCGTCGGGGTTTCAATTACGTCTGTCGTCGAGAAAGATTAGCGAAACAAATTGCTTTCTCCTACCGTCAGCGCACGCACACGTATTAGCGTAACTTTTTTAACATTAAAGGAAAAAACCACTCGCCCTAGTGCCTTCTGGAAAAAAAAAGAGCGCTCGTAGTTACATCGTCCTGGCACCCTCCCTGTCGCGTTACTTAATTATACCTCGCTATATCTTCGTTCAGGCCATTCGTTCTTCTTGTTCTCCGCGTTATTCCTTCCGTGCAGACTGCGGCACATTCTTGTTGAGATATTACCTTTTTTTCCCTTTTTAACGCTTACGACGCTCCGTCACCGTCGGTTACACGCGTATTTCATCGACCAACGTGACGTTCCTAACGCCATCCGCAGAACAATCTCGTGCGTTGTCTTTGAAAAAGATATTTCACGACGTCGTCGAATGCTACTTTGACTGGAAATCTGACCGATCGGTCGCAACTGGAGCTGATTAGATTCTATTTACTGGACGCAAGTTTAGTGGTTCAATCTCCCTTCGCTTCCGTCTATATCATCCCCTTTGTAGCAAATCAACCGGTATACGGGGCCACGATTCTGCAGACCTTTCCTAGTCGCTAATTTGGAGAAAAAAGTGGCCGCGTTCGATCTAGCCGATCTAGTCTTTCGCAGTATTTGCGGTATTTACAGAATATTGCAAGTGGTAAGAAAATATTTAAATGTTCAAATATTTACAATCAAAAAACTTGTCAAAATTTACTATAAAGTACGAGCAAAGAGAAGCGATTTTTTTTGGCAAGGAAAAGACTTTGCTTGTCCTCTCGCAGTGACAGTGTAAGAGTTTCGATCGGGAAGAAAGAATTGTTCTTTCGAAGCGCATTTCCTTCCACGCAATAGCCCTGCATTCTTGCGCACGTCCGAGAGAACATGGCAATTTTTGGACTTTCAGGCGTGCCGTAGCGTAGATTGACAAGCGAGCAAGGGCAGCAGCCGTACTGGCGGTGGAAAATGGGGCTCGGGGAAAGGAAATAACAGGGTCTGGGACCCTATCGGCGAGGCAATCACATCCCCCTTCAAGAACACACTAGCATTCACTGAACTTTAAAATCAAATAATGCCCATTAAAATAACAATACGCGTCCCCGGTGAGCAGGTTAAACATTCTCTCGCTTGGCTCCTAACCCGCTCTCTCGCCTACGCTCATTACCATACGGGATCGGGTTACGACAATTACGTTAAGTATCGCCGTCGCTAATACATACCGATTCAGGGGGAGGAGAGAGAAAGAGAAAGAGAGAGAGAGAACGAACGTTCCTTCGTTGACCCCCTAATATCTTAATCAAACCTGGAAGGCGGTTTGTTTTCGCGCACCCGTGATTTCACAACGGCCAAACCCGACGAGCGATATACTCGCGTAATTGCTCTAATAACTTTCATTTTGCGATTAACGATCCGTTGATTGTAAACAGTGTTGCGTTTAGAAAAGAAAACTTGACGAGACAGGTCCTCGGAGATTCACCACCTGTGCCAGCGAAACACACGAGATCGTTATCGCGAGTGGTCGCTTCGCAGGATTGACATAACGTAAACGGCGGCAGGACTGGTGTCCTAAGATCGTTATCGTTGCGTTGCACGATGCTTATCGCGTCGTAATATATCGGTCTTACCGAAATCTCTTTTGTGCCTTTCGAGGTGGCTACGTTATTCCGGCAATTCAACTACAGTCGCGTTAAGAAAAATTTGTCATTACTCCAAAAGTAAATTTTTGTTAATTAATAAATTTGTTCTTACAACCTTATCACATATCTGTCATGTAAATTTGCCATATTGATCGTATCGCTGCACGATTGTAATGTACAGCAATACGGTAGGTTTTCTCTGCAGTCGAGGGTGCCGATATTTATGATAAAATGCCTTCTCTGGAAAGTTCCCTCGAGACTGGGGAAACTGCACGCGGCGATTTATGCACGCTGAATGGTCGGATGTGCTACATCTATCTATTAGACCAACGACCAATCGTGCCGATCGATTGATATTACGAGATTCTTATATTATAACGGCCTCGAATTTCTTCGGTTAATTTTGACTTTACGGTGTACGCGATGCGTCGGATTGCTATGCCGTCATCAGTTGCCACGTGCATCAACGAAAGTTGCAAAAGGAATGCCTCGCTCGTTATGTAAGTTGCGTCAGAGATGACTTCGATCGCACGACGCCTGCACGCTTCGTCCGTAAAAAAATGATAGCCAAAATTGACAAGCATTATCGAGTCATTTATATGTACATCGCGATTATTAAGAACGAATAAAATACATGCATCGAATCAAAGACTGATTTTTACGTCAAGCGGACAATTATAAGCGCGTGGTTAAAAAGTCGACTCAGTTCGGAGGGACAATTTCCTCGGCCGTTCGCAGTTTTCATGGGGGACAAAAGGACAAGCGCGTTCGTTCATGGGTTGAGAAAGAGCTAAAGTTAGAATGGAAAGGTGAATTTCCAGGCGGCTATCAAGCCGCCATGGCGCCGGCGATCTAACGACTCGCGCTGACAACCGGATGCGAGGAGAGGAGAGGCCCGATACTCGCCGCGGCGAGTTCCCGCATCGGTCATTAGCATGCAACTCGTGAACGTACATATTTTGGGGAGTCCTCGCGAAGAATACCAATATTCCGCTTTGACATTCCAATAAAACGCGCTCGTTTTGTTTATGAGCTTGTACGCGATGCGTGAGCGTGCGTGCGTGTGCGCGCGCGCGTGCAACCGCACGTCCACGTCGTCACCGTCACCGAGGTAGTTACATCAAAACGCATGAATGGTATTGGAGATTGAAATGGGAACGAAGAGGCAGGGAGTACACGACCGCACCCACACCGCGATCGGTGCCAGACCGCTGGAAACGCGTTAACGAATGTCGCACCACCCTCTCGCGTCGTAGCGAGACAAGATGTTGAATATATATTGTAGAAAAGAGTCATGTACCCTCGCCAATGTCTGTTAAATCCTGTGTCTCCCTGACTTTATTAATTTTACTTCGGGATTTTACGCTCAAAATATACACCTCTCGCTTTTCAAAATATGTACTTTACGTATCGCTGCAATTTAATCGTCGACACGTAGGCGATTTATCAGACACTGTCGCCAACATTTTTTTTGTATATCTTTCACGCGGAAAATGAACGAAGCTCGACGGTCGGCCACGCGGAGATCACGGAGATAATTGCTAAATTATTATTTCTGCGGGGGTACGGAAGCCCGAGTCGTAACTAACGCAGCGTCGGAAGAAAGCGGCGATGAGGAAAGAGGGGAGAAGAGATACAGAACCGATCCGAGCGAGGCATATATATATATATATATATATATATATTCCCCGCGGAATCTCTAAGCGAGAGATACGTACAAGCCCGACTTGACACGATTTTCAATCGTGCGTATAAATAAAAAAAAAGTTGTCAAATGCCAGGGACATGATGCTTCGCGTACGGGACGTTCCGCAAGACGAGCTTCCGTTTATAAGACGATTGCCGGCCGCGTGATCTCGTTATTCTTGCGGTGATTCCGACGACGATTTTTTTCCGTGAATGCTCCGCTGACCCCGTCGTCGAGCTCGAGTCGTCTCGAATACAAGTTTCGTACGAGATAAGGGAAGGGAATCTTCTCGTGCCGAATAGAGGCATGCGCGCTTCGCGCGCGAGTCCAAGGGAACGGAACGAGCGAGAGAGGAGGACAGCTAAGTGTCATCGATGCCGCGGGTATTACGGCAATGATTGGTATGCCCGGCAATCGATCTACGATCCCCCCGCGCGCCCCGCTCTCTGTCGCGTTTCCACGGCAGGATATCGAGAATTACCCGGGCACAATGGCATATACACGATCTCGCATCGCGATCCCTTCACGGCTCTTGCTTATATACGCACATAATACACATTAGGCTTGTTGGTGTGTAGTTGAAAATTGCGCCATTTCCTTGTTACGCCGCGCACCGGACCGTCCAGCCGCAAAACCGCACAGTGGTGGTGCTTTGTACCACGCGGACCCGATTGCTATATATTAAAATTATTGCTACCGCGTTCTCTGTAGTATGACGCTTATTGGTCACTCGTACATTCCGTATCGGAAAATATCGGCGGGATCCGTCGGACGAGTCGTATATAATTCAAAGAGAATCTGCAGGCATGTTACAAAAACCCGTAAAAATATTATCCGAGACACGCGTCTGTTTTCGTTACGTCGCTTCCGTTGCATGCGTTTCATCTGATCCACACGGGGAAAGAAAAAGGTACAACTATAGGAGAACGTCGTAAAATAGTCGGAACGGCGCGAAGCGATACGGTGATAGAAGAATCCGTTACCGCCTCGTTCATCTGCGCTGCGATCTCCATTTTTACGAGCACGAGCGCACGACTACCCATTTCGGAGCGCACAGGGTAACGGCGTGCACAGTGCGTCCGGTAATATATTATATCATACCTGCGACTCTCGCCCGCTGCAGTTCCTTACGTCTCTGTTAGGACATCTGAGATCGGAACAGTGATCAGATCCTTTCTCGGGGTAACAGTATCGAGGGTGGCGTAACGGTATTCTACGACTCGACATCTCTCTCCGGCGATATCGAAATAACAACAAGTGCATCAGACATAATATACACTTGCATGTTAATTACGCAAATAAAATCAACTAATTTTTGTTAATGCCAAAGATGTAATATATGTAAATGCAATGAGTAACTTATATAAATGATTTTGGTTCTCGGAAAAGCGTTCATTAATTTCAATTTTCTTATAGCTCATATGTTATAAAAATAATTCATTAAAGTAACATTTTTAAATACAGTACAAATGATACATTGGCGCGACACGCTTCTTACGTACGAGGCAATATGTACGCCGAGAGTATAGTATATTTATCATGTAAGCGAGCAATTTAGGGAAGATCATTTTTCACACAGGGTGCGACGACTTTGGATTCCAGGGTGTGTGACTCGGTAAGGGCGAATGGGGTGTTATTGGCCGGCGGGCGAACACCAGACGGACATCACCCTCCGGAGATCTTCGGCCTGACTGATGATTTTTGCTTTCCAGTATCGTATCTTATAGATATGCCATTCGTGATCCTGCCGTTCGATCATCCGTCGTTTTTGTATGACTGCGTCACATGATGTGATTCTAATTATATTTTCAGGAGAATCGAGATAAAAAAACTATAATCATTTTACATTACGATATTTTATCTTGAAGAATCGCTGTGCAAGAATAAATACACGTTACATTTACGCATTCGGCTCTGTGATTAAAATAATTTCGCTAATTGATTCCTTGTACCAGACACAGCGTATATGTCAATTGCGCGCGAGGGTAGGAGCGGGTTTTCCCGCGGGTATACAGATAAAAGAGCGTCAAGAAACGAAGCACGGAGAAGTAACGGCCTGTTAAAGATAAGGAAATGAGGTGTCGCACCCTGCGCGATCTGGAAAGGCCGGAAGGGTCTTTTCTTCCGCGCCCGGTGTGCCGTACCGGAGCACCCCTTGGAGGATTTCCCCCTCCCTCCCCTCCCCCCCCCCGGTAACGTTTCAGAGCTGGCTGTTGAGCTTCGAATACCTTTACGCTCGGACGCGCGGACGGTCAGTTGACCCTTCCTTCGATAAAATGCACTGTAACGCCGTCCACTTCTCATCGATCGGCAAAGTCTAGAGTATCTTTCCGGACATGTCTCTCGCATTTTCAAGCGCGATTGCGTGCATTCGTCAAGAAATGTGTCAGAAGCTCGCGCGTAACATATGAAATAATATTTGTCATATTAGGGAATAAATCTCTCGTAACGGAATTATTCTTTTGTTTAGAATTATTTGTAATAATATATAGAACCCTCGCGCGCGTTTCTATCCTTCGACCGCGCTTACAAGTCAGCGCAAATTCGATGCTAGCCAGAGAATTCTTATCTTAATGTAGCAAATAACTGGAGGGAGCGACGGAGAGCGCGGTAGATAACAGTGCCTACCGATCTAATCTCACCGCTGATTTAACTCGCTTCATAATTCTTCAACCTAATCTGAATCCGCGTGTAAGCATTAGGTCTCCCTTATGGGCTTCATAAGCACGTCTACGTCCGTATTTAATTTAATATATTCCTGTTTCCTACCGGGTCATTCAGAATATTCAATGCTTTAGGCACTTCCTGTGATACATGCAGGATATCGAAAATTTTATGAAAATTAATTATTATTATTTTTTAGAAAATAGTTAAGTTTCCGGATTAAAAAATTCAACTAATTGCCGCATGTATTAAATGTAATATTTACAAAATAACAAGTTAAATATAAGCTACAGTTTTATTTCTTTTTAACTCGAATGCAATGTCGATTTAAATAATTATAAAAAGTACAAGGGAAAGTTTTCTTATATTAATATCATATCCCACTTACAAAATAAATATAATGTATGTAAGACCGCGAAACGGCAAACTTTTTGTGGTCGGTCTTGGCAGTTGCGGCGTTGACAGCCGATTCTGCAAAGCATACTCTGACACGGTAACAAGGACTCCTGGCATATCCAATGATTTTTAGGGTGCGACACCGGGGATACGCGAACCCTCAAAACGGCTGACAAGTCTCTCTCCCCCTCGCCCCTCCGAAGTCTTCCCCTGTGTCTCTTAAAATCGCGAGATTTTCAAAACAGATGCACCCTGCCGCCGTGAAATAGCTTTTTAAACTCCTCGACCAATGTTACGCGTTATAAGGAGCAAGCGAACAACTCCCCATCTGCTCCTGAACGTTCTGATCCTGGCAGTAACAGTCTTAAAAGACCATTTCATATTTTCCGAGCGATATCCTGCTCAGGCGTTCCTCTACTGTGCTTCTCTCCTCGCTGTAAAGTGGCGAATATTTATGAGGAGCTTCTATAAATGACGCATACCTATGTATATCGGTATCGGGCGCAATATTCATTCGCAACTGTCCTTATATATCTTAGTGTTGCATTATTAAAGAAGTCTATTATAGTCTGAATTATTAGAAATGTTTTATTGCTACTGCAATTTCATTATTCTATTTATCCATTTTACCTTATTAGCGCAATATTACTGTATCATCAGTTATGCACAGTTTAAATGTTTTTTCCACTTCGCCGAAAGAATTTCCTATTACATTAAGAAAAAAATACATATAATTTGCATAAGAAAATTGATTCATTTTACTCTATTATGTTTGATGACTCGTGTCGAGATAATAAAGATGATTACGTCATGTAGAACATATTGGACATATATGAGAGGATATGTCATCTACAAATTGTCTCTACCATGTGTCCCGCTATATCAAGACCAGGCTCCTACACCCAGAACCCCAAATAAATATAACACATATTACACTTTAGGCATTAGACCCTAATGGGATTTACGCGAGTCTTAATCAGTTGTTTCGCGCGATCACGAATCGCTCGGTGGGGACACGTAGTATCTTTGTTCCACAGAAAAAAACGAAAGAATGCATTTATCAAGAATGCAACCATTTGTAAACGGCGATGCTTCATTAATTTTTTTATTACATTAGTCATCATTAAGCTAATAAAATAATTATATATATATATATATATATATATATATATATATAATTATGATATAGATGTATAATTATATCAATCTATTTGCCTTTTGTTAAAATAATTTAATAATGCAACGGTTTCCATGAAATTATAAGATCAACGATAATGAGAATTTCAATTTTCTTATTGTCGATTAATGCAATACTTTTGAATGAATACAGATGAATTATTCAAATATCACACATGTGTGTATATGATTTATTAAATCATTTATCTGTCTGTCTGTTTGTCTGTCTTTAGACTAAAATTAAATCTGTTGTACCGACGAACAAGAGAGCAATCAAGTTCACCAGTACAACTTGAAGCCGTGCGGTGGCAGGCAAGGCTGGAGTAAGGTGTACAGCCTTAAGCTGTCCTTTATGAAATAAAAAAGCTACAAAGAAATATGACTCAAATATTAAATTCGAATTACTTTAAATCAAAATTTATAAAATTTTAATTATAAATATTACGAGCTGTATCAAATTTTTTTTTTTTTTTTAACAGAAGAGACGTGTTAAAATTTCCAAGATTATTTCGTACAACAATTTTAAAGTACAAGTTTCTTTTAAATTTTATTAATTATTTGTAATCGCTCATTTTATTAAATAATAAAAAAAAAAATAAGATACGCAAAATTCTATGATATATACCTTTCTTGTGTTTTTTAATTATTTTACGAGACAAAACGGCACTTATAATTCCCTGGATGAACAAGATCCAAATTTCTTAATTAAGCTATCAAAAATGCCTTGTTAGGCGAGGGCGTAAAGTGATCGTAATTGAGGCGCTTTTACAACGCTCAATCTCGGAAACGCGGTTCGTGCTTCGGTACTGCGTGTCACGCAATTACACCCCAGCCTTCCCGGTACGGCGGTGTCGCAGCGGGGTATTCCGGGCGATGAAAGGGGGGAACGTGTAATCACGCTAATTGAGTGTAGATAGGCCTCGTTGACGACTCCTTCATTACGCCGCAAGAAGGGTCCTGACCGCACAATTACCCACTAAGTTCAACGCTTGTCATCTTTCTGTGCCGCGACGCGAAGCGGTGCAACGTTTCCGATATCGGCGATGTATCGTGTAAGCCGCGGATATCGGAGAGCGAGATCACGGAGGAAACTGTTTCGCCTCGAGGCGAATTTTTCGGGAAACGGAGAAGGATGTACCTTTACAAGCTATGATTATTTCGTTCCTTGATTATTTCGTTAATTTTTAATTCTTATATTCACAAGTATTTCTCAAGAATGTTTCCAGCGTCTCTGCAACAAAGCCGTGCAACAAAATATATCACGTGTTTCTATCCGTTAATATCGCACACGACGATGCGAGACGTTCCACGTAAGACCCTTATTTATTAGAAAAATGGTCAGATTCATGGAGGCTTTCCTTATTAAGTTCACACTTTTCGCAAGGTTTCGCAGGGGCGAAACACCTCTCGGGAATACCAATGAGTTACCGGTATCCGGGATGTCAGTCCATGGGATGGCACGAAAAAGGGGAGGATGTAGGACGCAAGGGCTCGTTCGATCCGTAAGGAGGGTGTTGTCGGGGCTTAAGAGTCGATTCGTGCCTTTGAACGGTACAAGCGGGCGGGGATGTAACGTTCGCGACGCGAGGCACGCGAGTGCTCCTGCGGCGTGATTGATCACCGAGTCTCTCATTTCGTCACTTTCGTCGATTTTACTATTTAGCCTTCGGACTAAATGAATCCTCGATCTGGCATCGTTGATTTTGACACTGACAGCGAGATTCATAAGTTTCAAGAGGAACGTAATCGCGAGATAAGAGTAATGCGAGAGAGAAAGAGAAAGAAAGATATACCTATTTTCGTTTCGATACCAATATCTCTCGAGGAAGCTGTCATCTCGTAATATACATCCCGGCGAATCGCGGCACAACGGCGAATGACATAAATTTACTAGCGTCGGTGACTTCAGCAAGTAGCGTGTCCGAATTTGAGCGAAAACAGAAGTCGAGGAAATAGCGGGCGCGACATGGGGAAGGAGGGGCGGGAGGGACCAGCTGGCTCTGTCTTGTCGGAGGCATTAATCATCGAAGTATCTAAATGACGGGATTCCGATGTATTACCATATAAATGACATCATATTTCTGGTCAGGTTTCCCCAGTTTGTCGGGTCGCTCCGACGTGATGTATGGACGACGGCATATTGGCGGGACCGACCCACCCGCTCTATACGCGCGTCACCCCTATCGGCTCGGACTCTTACGCTATCGTTCCGCCTATCGCCTATTGTCCTACGTCACCACTCGTTTCTCGTCGTTTCGTTTTAGCCTCGTTGAAAGCGCGCGATTAACGCGATCTTACGCGGCCGCCGCGCGTAAACGAGTTGTCCGAAACGCCAATCTGCGGCCGGTCATCTCACTCGTGGAGGTGGAATCGTCGTTTCGTCCCGCGCGCGCGGATGAAATCGAGATTAGTTTTCGACTTGATGGCGATACGCAATTATGCATCAACCCCGGGTACGGCGCGGCGTACGCATGCACCGCAAACTGGCCCGGCCAAGCGGCCCGGCGCGGGTACATTTCAATTATTAGAGGGAATTACTACGAGCGTCCATCATCTTCTA